TAAAATTACGGTTAAAACCTTTTAAGCATTTTGTAATTTAACCAAAATTCATTAGCATCCACTCAAACAAGTAATTATTTACTTTTCAACATGCATTAGCATAGTGCACTTCTCTTTTGTTTACAATTTGGTTGTCAAACACACTACATCGGACCTTTTGACACATTCACCAGAATTTACCACCAAAAAATCGTCGGACTAAAACTGGTAGCTTATGACAATGAGATAACCTTGCTTACTCTCTTATTTGTCCTCTCAGTTGCCAGAAAACCAAGTACGATTTCCGATAAAATCTGAAAATTGTGGTAAAAAATGGTAATTTCGGACTCATGCGGGTTCACAACTAAATAATATTGGGAATACTTTTGAGGTTTTTGAAGAGGGTCGCGACCTGTTTGACACTTTTGCTAAGTTTTGGCCGAGCTTCTCCTCCGATTTGTAGCGTGCGCCTTTGCTGTCACACAAATGGGAGGGACCTACAGTCTTACGCCGACGCCGACGCCGAACGGCGATAAAATTTTTATGATGAGCTGTTTTTTTTATTAAAGACACTAAGATTTTTAAAATATTTTCACTAAAATTTTATTAACCTAAATGTAAAGCTTATGCGAAGTAGTTATCTAATTTAATGTAAATTTTAAACATTTTCAAGTAAGATATGAATTATATTTAAAACGTAAATGTTGATACAACTGTTTTATATATAACCCAAACTTATGACATAAAATCCCCTCTACCTAAAAACTTAAATTGGGTAGCGCCGGTTTGAATTTTTACAATTGAGCAATTGTCAAAAATCTGCCTTTTTATCAAAAAGTTGTTTACCAGGGTGTCTTTGAACTAATGATTGTTACTGAATTNGAATAAACTTTTTTGTTTACTTATTCTTTAGAACGTTCCTGATGATATGTTAACGTATATTTCAAAAGCATTCTGTTTATTCCGGCTGTAAAATGGGATTATTCGGAATGTATAAAGAAACGCAGCCAATATGTTGATGTGCGAATTCATAACTGCTTTGAGAGAATGGAAAATTCAAAAATTTTAAACCTCAATCATAAGCGAAGAATAAGTAATGAAAACTGGATAGAAAAAAATTGTTGATTTAAAATTGAAAATGATTTCACACTTACACAGCTCTGGTGTATATACTATCAAATAAAAATAGTTGCAAAAGTTCTGTTTTTTATTTTGTGTTTCTAGCAGTAGACGCAATTTTGCAACGTTCCGAATAAATAAAACAAAAGATTTTCCGTACGCTTCAAAGGCAGTTAAAAAATGCGTATAATTTTCGTCACGAAATTGATATCATATATTTGTGTTTCTAGTTCGGCTTTCGTCACTCGAAAATTTTACCTCAAAGAGATGTTTTATTTGATACCAATTATTTTGTGGTAGCAAATTTAAAATCGACCTAAATACAAACAATAATCTAAATGTTTTATTTTTCTCAACTAAATTGCTAAAAATATTATCTAAATCTAAATTATGTATTCAAAGCGATGTGTCCATTGAAACATATAATTTTTCGTATACGGAATAAAGCAAAAAAGAATGATCATATCCTCTGTATTCGAAAAAATTAAAATTAAAAGCAAATTATGAGAAATGATAAAAACTTATCAACTTGGTACCAACTTTGGATACAATAAACAACTGTATTCGTCTGATTGTCTCGTAGTATATTTTTGTTAAGATTTCTACCGGGTGTGTGGCGCACACATGGGCTTTGTTTAAGAAGTTTTACTTCTATCACGTGTACGATGTTTCACTCGTGCTATTAAACTAATGCTTTTTTCTCAAGTAGTTTTGCTCAGCGCGCGGTTAAAGGTTTTGGTTTTAATTTTAAACTTTTTGGATTACATACATATATATATGACCAAACTAAATTCAGTTTCAAATACAAACCTTCCAAGATTAAAAAAAGAGAGCACCTATGTTGGGTTTAGAATTTAAACAGTTCGGTTTAAATTTTTAACCCAAACATTTTCATAATTTAGAATATAAAAAATGATCTTAAATTTCATGCTCCGTCTGATGGGGATCGAGCCCGGACAGCCTTGGTAGCAACCAATTGTATCAAGCATCTTTGCACACTCAGCTACAGCCGCGCATGTAAATGTGCTTTCATATGTTGAGTTTGAATCAACACCACATTTCGCTGTGTGCAAACATTTTCTATTTCGGTTTAGATTTTAAACCAAACTTTCTATATATGAAAACTAGAAACTATAATTAAAACATTTTGGTTTGAGTTTTAAACCACGAACTTTTTCGACTAACATTTAAACCAGAACATATTAAAAATTGCTTAAAACTATTGACTGGTTTGAAAAGTATACTATAAAAAATTAAAAAAGGCAGTAGCCCCAGCGCGGTTTAAAAATTAAACCCAAATTTTTGACCGTGTGGCAGTTTACATATGTATGTAAGTAGTAGCGGCACATTGGGTGGCTTAATGCATTCATACACACATATTTACATACCCTGCAGTGAAACTCCAAACTAGTCAGGAGAAATACTAGTTTACAACTAGTATTTCCTGACTGAAACCGAACTAGTGTAAAATGACCAGACTTGTACCAAGTACAAAACGATTTATTCATGCACTGTTTTATTTGACTTCGACAGTTTAATACAATAATGGACACAAAATATTATAACTTTTATTTGGGTATATTGTAAACCATTAAAGCGAGTACGTATTCAATTTTACTAGACCTGTTAAGTAATATTCATAATGATTATTAATTAAAGCATGTTTTTATGGATAACCGTTTAATGATTTAATATCGATATTAGCATCTATTTAATGATTAATAATTAATTACTTAAAAAAAAGTTAATTAATGCATTAATTTTAATTACATCATTATTTTGTTATTTTTGATAATTTTCAATTATTTTTTTAATTACGCGGTTAATATTATAATTTGATTAATTTCAATTATACATTAACAAGCCAAACTATAGACAAAAATTAAGAATATTTAATAACTGCATGAATTATTTATTTATTTTATTCGTATCCAAATCTCAAATTTTATGCGTTAATTATTACTTTTATAAAGTTTTAAAAAGAAGGGACTGAAATGTGAAGAGTTAATGAATTTAATTTAATTTAATAAAAAATTTTATTTTTATTTAAGTTCACTTGATATATTTATTTTAATTTTAACTAAATGATTTTTTTTTGCATATTTTATATTATTAAAAAAGATGAAAAATATAGTATTTAGTGTACCAGAAAGCTTATACTTTTAATAACATTTAATGGAAAATGCATTTAAATTTATGTTCAAAAGTTTGAAATATTCATGTATTAATTTTTGTTTTTAATTAATACTCAAAAAATAACAGTAAATATTGGCAATTCAAAGGCTGCTAAATAAAAATGTGTAATATATTAAAGTGCACTTAATCAAGAGTTTTTATACCCGAGCGCACTTGTGCACAAGGGTATATTAATTTTGTTCACCTAACGGTTGTTTGTAACAGCCAAAACGAATCGAGATAGATAGACAAATGTATACATAAATGATCAGGATGAAAAAAGAAATCGATTAAGCCATGTCTGTCTGTCCGTCCGTCTGTCCGTCTGTCCGTCTGTCCGTCCGTCCGTGTACACGATAACTCGAGCAAAAATTGAGATATCTCAACGAAATTTGGTATGTAGGTTTCCCTTAATCCAAGGTAGGTTGGTATTGAAAATGGGCGAAATCGGACTTTAACCACGCCCACTTCCCATATAACGGTAATTTCCAGAAATACGAAAACTGCGATATTTTAGTAACTACTGAAGATAATTCACTCAAAATTGATATTTACAATAATTTTTAGACGAAAAATAAGAATATTATAAATTTTTGGAAAATGGGCGTAGCCACGCCCACTTATGGTTACATGTGTATATCTTGGTAACCGCTGCACCAATTTCTTCCAAACTTGGCACAGTTGTTGGCCTTGGTACAGCATAAAAAACCGCCGAAACTTTTTAAAATCGGACAATAACCACGCCCACATCCCATATAACGGTAATTTAGAGAAATACAAAATCTTCGATAAATCGGTAAATATTGAAGCTAATTTATTCAAAATTGATGCTTGCAACAATTCTTTACCAAGAAATACGTTTATGGTAAAATTTTGGAAAATGGGCGTGGCACCGCCCACTTATGATCACATATATGTATATCGGTAACCGTTCTACTAATTTGTATCAAACTCAGTGTGGATATTGTGCTTGCCACATATAAGCAAAACGTTGAAAATTATTGAAATCGGACTAAAATACCGGCCGCTTTTCATATAACGGTAAATTTCAGAAATGCTTGAAACTTCAATATTTCGAAATTGAAGGACGCTTATTTACTCAAAATTTATACACCCCGGCTTACCATCTAGCGGAAGGTTTCGGAAAGATGAAAAAACATATATTTAATACTTGCGCCGGGTATTTCATGTTCGGCTCCGCCCGAACTTAGACTTTCTTACTTGTTTAATGTTTATTCATAAATTCATTTTATTTTTGGACTCCCAGAGGTGTGGTTTTGGTCCATAATTGAACTAGTATTTTTCTGTCTATTTTGAACTAGTATGAGACTGGTATATTTCTGACCAAAATCTGAAAACTTCCATCTCGTAGGACATCCCCATGTAAAAAATACCAGTTGATTGCATGGAAAAAAGATAGTTGGCTGACTAGTTGTGCATGCGGTTCATACTAGTAGTGAGGTAGTTTACAACTAGTACATTTGACTACAGGGTATGTACAACTGTAGCTAATATTGTACGCGTCTTCCCAGGTAGTTTAAGTGCTAGTGCTGCAAAAACATCGATATTTGAAATTATCGATTTTTCGATGTTTTTGCCACTAAAACATCGATAGTATCGATACTATCGTGGTTTCTTGGGAATTTTAACTTTTTGTTTCAAGCTGAAATCCTTGTCGATTAACAAACATAATTTTTTAATAAATTACAGTTATTATTTTAAAATTATCCAATAATTAATTTAAATTTTAATTTGACTTGTATTTAAGGTCACATTTAATTTATAATAATATAAAAGTATTCATAAAGCAACAACACTATTTGTAGGGTGAGGAAGGTTTTTTCCAACCCGCGATCCAAACAGAACGTTAGCGAAACGAATCTAACTTCGAAAATTGGGCTGTGCAATTTAACCGATATCAACTACAACCACCTGAAAATATTGCGAGGGTAAACACGGCGTCTTGGTGGTCAACAGTAGACTGATTTATTTAATGTTCTCAAAAAGGCAATTCAGTGTAATAATTCAAGTTATATTAGGTAGTGAATGTATGTATGTATGTTAATATGTATGCACATACGAAAGAGTGATACAGCAAAATGACAAAATCTCGCTGTTATATTAGCATATGTACATATGTAAGCATACATGCGTGTGTATATACAAATTAGTTATGTGGGAGCATCAAAGTTAGGTTTTAGTTTATACATATGTGTCTGTTTGTACAATTGAGTGCATGCTCATATATTACAAATATAAAATGCGACAGTTAAACGAGTACATAATTGAATATGAAGTAAATAAGTATTTAGATGTTCTTGACCTACGCCAACTTGCAGGGTGTGTCGTTAGGTGACCCAACATCCCGGCCCCGTTGAAAGGACTTTCAAATTGGTAAAACTGCAATTTTGTGGATAGGGCGGCGAATGATTCCCTTCGAGGTGCATATGTCGACCACTCTAACTCGAGCATCTTTTCCAGGTATGGCCTCTGTAACACGTCCAATTTGCCATCGCTGTGGCGGCACATTGTCCTCATGGATGAGAACCATAGCGTCCTTTGCAATGTTTGCATGGTCAGTGGTCCACTTTGTTCGCGCTTGATGGCGGTGATTTGAGTCCATTTGTTGACGAGGTTGATGTTGTTTGCTATTGCTCGCTCCGGTAGAGATTTTAACGCACTGCCGGTTATGAAATGCCCTGGAGTCAACGCCTCGTAATCGCTGGGGTCAGATGAGAGTGGAGAGATAGGCCGCGAATTAAGAACAGCTTCTATTTCCACTAGTACTGTCGTCAGCTCCTCATACGTAAGTCTGGCGTTCATGATGCTGCGGTTTAGATGACCCTTGGCTGATTTAACTGCGGCTTCCCAAATGCCGCCGAAATGAGGTGCTCTGGGGGGAATCAAATGAAAATTCACAAATTCATTAGTACAAAAATTGGTGATGACATTTTGGTTCTCTTTCTTGAAAAGGAACGCTTTCAATTCCGCAAGTTTGCTGCACGCGCCGACAAAGTTAGTTGCATTGTCGCAGAAGATGTCTGTTGGAAGGCCTCTCCTTCCAATCATTCGCTTTAGCGAAGCTAAAAATGCATCCGTGGTTAAGTCAGAGACGACTTCGATGTGTACTGCCTTTGTAGCAAAGCACACGAAGATGGCGATGTAGGCTTTATAGGGAGCCTTGCCCCTAATGCGAAGGTAAACGCTAATCGGTCCGCAAAAATCGATGCCGCAGCGGGCGAACGGGCGCGATGGTGTCAAGCGTTCAACAGGCAGATTGCCCATCATGTGTTGGAGTAGTTTTGGCTTGTATCGAATGCAATGTATACATGATCTGACGATGCGTCTAGCAATATCGCGTGCATTAATTACCCAAAACTGAAGACGAATTAAACCCACCAGCGCCTTCGGGCCGGCGTGATAGTTTTTGATGTGTAGATGTCGAACATATCGCGTGACGAATTCACATTTGCTAGGTAATAAAATAGGGTGCTTTCTGCTTTCTGGAAGATCTGCCAATTCAAGTCGTCCGCCAACTTTCAACAGTTCAAAGTCATGAGTAGACTCCAAGAAAGGGTTTAGATTACGTAGCATGCCATTTGTTGTTGACTCTTTCTGCAAAAGACGAATACCTCCAGCAAAATATTGTTGTTGCACGTTCCATACAATGCATAACAAAGCGCGGTATAGTTCATCAGCAGTGAGAGGCCCTTTTACGATTTCTGTATTAGCTTTCTTGAGCCTTGCGCAAAAACGGAGCATCCTTGCAACAATCCGGACTTCACGAGTGTGAGAACTGCACCTGTCAAGGATTTCGAGAAGGTAGTTATTAGTTAAAGTAACCTTAAATACTGATTTTCGCTTTTCCGAATTTACTACGTCCATATCCACCTCGTCATTTGATTGGTTAGGCCAGTTGTTTATATTTTCGTACAAGAAGCTAGATTCTCCAACATCTCGCTTATCTGCGCCCATGCCCCGACGGAAGAGAAGGATGAGGCGTCCAAGGATCTCTTCTATGAGCGCTTGGAACGTACATATGAGCGCTGCCCCCGACACGATGTCAAAATCGTGCTGGGCGATTTTAATGCCAAGGTGGGCAAGGAAGGGATCTTTGGCGCCACCGTGGGAAAATTCAGCCTCTACGACGAAACGTCCGATAACGGACTGAGGCTGATCGACTTCGCCGGGGCCCAAAATATGGTAATATGTAGTACTAGGTTCCAGCATAAGAACATCCACCAAGCTACATGGCTGTCTCCAGATCGAAATACGAGAAACCAAATCGATCATGTTGTGATAGACGGAAGGCATGCTACAAGTGTTTTGGACGTACGTACACTCCGAGGGCCAAACATCGACTCGGACCACTATCTTGTTGTAGCCAAGATACGCACCCTCCTCTGTGCAGCAAAAAATGTGCGCCCAACAATGCAAGGAAAGCTTAACGTCGAAAAGCTGCAATCACAACAGACTGCCAATTTATTCGCCACTCGACTCACACACCTGCTCTCTGAGAGCACTCTTCAACAATCCAACGTACGCGAGCAGTGGAACCACATTTCCCGATCATTAACAACTGGTACGATGAGGAGTGTCAAGAAGCCGCAGAGAAAAAAGATGCCGCCTACAGGGCCACGCTGCGATCGGGCGCAACGCGAGCCATGTGGGACCGTTATAG